TCAAGGTCATCAATGTCTTTCTTGAGTTCTGAACATTCATCCTCCAGTTTTCTCTTCTTGGCCGTCAGCTCAGCATTGATCTCTTCCTCATCCTCGGCTCTCTCGGTCACCTCCTTGATTTTGGCCTCAAGCTGGATTTTGGTTTTGATCAGCTGGTCACACCTTTCCTCTGCATCAGCCAACCCTTCAGCTTCCTTAAGTTGGAAACAAAATGAAATATTTTACAATGATAAGAATATAAATTTCTGCATTTGGTCCTTTGGATTTCCTGTGTTCATTTATTTATGTTTTTAAAAAGTTTTGTTTCATGAACCATTTGCTAAGTGCAATACATTTTCCACATGTGGGAAAACCAAAATGTATCAGTTGCTGTTCCGATCTTTTAGAAGTCAATTCTATAGTATATTAGAAAACATATCTCCGAAAAGCTTCCATTAATGTAGAAAGGATTAATGACACAAAAGATCAGAGAAGTTAGGTCAATTCTTTCATGATTTCATGAAAGAAGTGGTGTTTGAATTGGGCCTCGAGAGAAGGGTAGGATTCGCTTCTGCAGAAATCAGCCTATTGGAAAGAAGAGCAGGAGGGTGGAGAAGCATTCCAGAATGACAAGATATAGCTGCTACTGAAATATTATATTTTTGTTTGTAGTATTAGAGGATGATTCTGGTTATAATGCTCTAGTAACCTGCTATTTCAAATTAAGGGGGTCAGGGCAGGCAGGAAATGAGAGGGACATTGGATTATATATTTGTCAGTGATTCTTTATACCAGCCTCTAATACATAAAAAAAAAATAAAATGTGCTGCATGTAACCAGGTAGTGAATATTGTGGTACAAGACAGATTCTAAGTAAATCTCAGCAACACAAGAGACTGAAGGGTAGATTTGAGGGAGGTGGAGTAGAAAAGGGCTCCTTTTTCTTCCATAATCTAGTAGAATGAGTTATTACACTGCCCAAATTTGACAGCAGAGACCAGTCATAACAGAAACAATATATATGATCTTGTGATGAGTAAATTATACCAGAGCAATTCAGTTCACTCCAAATGAAATGCCATCTTATAAATTATATTTCTGAGTTGACAGAAACAGGTTTGAAATGACTGGTTCAGGAGTGAGCCGTGAGCAGCCTGACAGAAACGAATTGAGAGTAGGCAGAGCAACTTAGTCCTGATGCAGCAATCTGGGTGTGATGTGATGGAGCACTGACCAGACACAGATTGGAAAGAGCAAATCTGAGTTTTTGAGATCAATAAAAAATAATAATTCAATAAAATGTGATGTAGAGTGCTGGCATTTGTTGGCTGTCCATATTGGAATTTAAGACCTGTGGACATCTAGAAGAAGTTTAAAGGAGTTTCAGAAAAAACTAGTCTGTACATGATATCCTCCCCTTAATATTTCATTTGGGATTGTTTCATTTTAAAATCACTTTTAACAACTACATTTTAAAGGGAAAATAAGCCATACATCCTGGAGTTTGATGAAATTATGTAGAATGGAAGATAAGGGACAGTACTTTGTTGCCTGATGTTGTTTGGAGGGTGGTTATTGGACAATGATGGCGTATATTAACCCTTATTAGTGCCATTGGAGTGTTTTAACCTTCTCCTTCCAATGAGTGTCTCCCATGCTGATGGATAATGGCCAGAGTTCTAGCACTTGCAGCCTGATTAGTAACACCCAGGGCAATACCCCAACTCACAGCCTGGACCTGGAGCTGCAAGTCATTTTTTTCTTTCAACAGTGACACCATCTTTTCTTCTAATTCTTTCCTTTTTGCCTCTGACTTAGCAAGTTCATCTTTAGTTTTCTGAAACTCTTCCTTCATGTTGGCCATCTCCTTCTCAGTCTCTGCACTCTTCAAGAGGGGCTTGATCTTGAAGAAGAGTTTCATCCAGGGCCAGTGCTTGACATTCATAAAAGAGCGGATGTTGTACTGGATGCAGAAGATGGCCTCCCTGAAATTTAATTGATGCAAATTAGGTATTGTGTGGAGGATGAAGTGAAATCAAATCTTGATAGTGAGAGCTGGAGGTTCTGTTCCACATTGTTCCTCATCTACTTTCAAACATGCAGATGGAAGAAATTATATTTTCAGATAATGGTCGGAGTCTTACCAATCTCATTTCTCTACCCATTTCTATCTATTTCTTCTCAGACTATATCATGCATAAGAATTATCTGAGTATCCCACCTCCAGATTCTGGTATCCCACCTCCAGAGATTCAGAAGATCTGGGATAGAGCCAGAAATATGCATTTTAAAACACTGGTGATACAAGTCGAAGGACCACCCTTGAGAAGAACTGCTCTATACCGGTGCTTCCCAAATGTGCCTACTAAGTGTTTTGGTAGGAATAGCAAAGCAGGAACATGACCCTTGAGGGATCGGTGGGCTATGAGTTAAAAAAGCCTCAGAATTTCTTTGAAAATCTCTGGCTTTATATTTTAATGTGCATTCTGCTCTGTAATACCACATTTGCTTTACTCTAAATTGTTTAATTCATCACCCTTCTATATAGACAATTACTCAAATATATATATTGTGCATCATGACCAAAATTTACATTTTTTAAGAAATAAGATATAATAAAGATACTAGCAGGCTATACTTAGTAGCTCATGCCTATAATCCTAGCACTCTAGGGAGGCTGAAGCAGGTGGATTGCTTGAGCTCATGAGTTCGAGACCAGCCTGAGCAAAAAAAAAAAAAAAAAGACTCCTTCTCTACTAAAAATAGAAAAACTGGGGCAAGAAGATTGCTTGAGCCTAAGAGTTGGAGGTTGCTGTAAGCTATGATGCCACAGCACTCTGCCCAGGGTGACTGCTTTAGACTGTCTTAAAAAAAAAAAAAAAAAAAAAAGATACTAGCACAACTACAAGAGACAAAAATAAAATTTGTTTCATTATCTTTACATCCATACAAATATGTGGATGTACACAGGCAATGTAAAACATACTTTTCTCTATGGAAATGGTCCTTGTCTTATGCACCCTGCAGTGTGAGACACCTGGTTCTGTAGCTTTCAAACACTGCCTCTGAATCTAATTAGATTATCCAAGAACCACATGCTTTGGTGACACTGCATTAATTTACTGCAAAAAATCTTTCACAGATAAATGCCCTTAATATTTTAAATCATGATAGTTTGATAATAGAAATTATCACATAGATGAAGTTGTTTCTACATTCTATGGAAAACCACTCTTCATACTGTTTGTTATGAAGTTTAATGTTGCTTATGTAATGACATAGTCAGTAAATTCATCTTAGAACCAAGTGCTCAGGCAAAAGGTTATCCCTGCTTACTCACTGTTGTGTTTTCTCTTGTGAGATAAGAACTACGCACGCTTTCTGCTCCTCAGTGTTTCGTCCATACGCTCAGAATATGCTCCATAGTGGATGATTGCTTCCTTCTATGTTGTCCTTATCACAACTTAGTCTTAACTGTCACTACCTCAAATAGGTTATTGAAGAGGAAGATATGAATAAATAATATGCTTTTATACCTTCTCTCTACCATCCTCTGGTACTCTACTCTTGCCAAGAACCCTCTGCATCTGGCCTGGGTTCGAGTGATCAGCTGGGCCAGCTTGTCATCTCTCATCTCCTCTAGGAGCCCCAGAAGACCAGCTTTGAAAAACACCTGTGTATGGGCAGAGTTGCAGATCAGAAACTTCACATAAAGTTCAAAGAAACAGGAATAGCATCAGGTCAGATTTAGAGACTATTACCTTGGTGTGACCAAATTTATACTGGGTGTGGTCGATATCGATGGACCCAAGGAGCTTCTCAGAAGCCTTCTTGCTATCAATGAATTGTCCCTCAGGTATAGCACTTGCATTTAATACTTTGTATCTGTTAAAATAAATACAGCTTTTAGAAACTTGGCTTACTGATGACACAAATAGAAGCTAAACATTAAATAATTCACTAAAAAAATTGGAGCTTTTAAAAAATTATTATTCTTTATTCACAGATAGGACATTGTTTACATGGATCATCAACCTATTGGTTATTAACTTTTACCGTTTTACCTTCCCTCCTGGGTGCACCTGTCCCTTTTGCCTCATCAGACCACATTCTCAGGAAAGGGCTTTATAATCTTCTTCACACTAAGGTGCAGATAAACAATGAAAGGTAATGTGTTATCCTTGCTAGGTGCATTTGCTTTTTAAGATCCTGAGTCAGAGGCGGTGCCTGTAGCTCAGTGGGTAGGCTGCCGAGCCACATATACCCAGGCTGGCGGGTTTAAACCCAGCCCGGGCCAGCTAAACAACAATGACAACTGCAATGGAAAAATAGCCAGGTGTTGTAGCAGGCACTTGTAGTCCCAGCTCCTTGGGAGGCTGAGGCCAGAGAATCACTTAAGCCCAAGAGTTTGAGGTTCCTGTGAGCTGTGATGCCACAGCACTCTACCGAGGGTGACAAAATGAGACTCTGTCTCAAAAAAAAAGAAAAAAAAAATCCTGAGTCCAAGAAAACTACTTTTGATTGAGAAATCTGGTATAAGTTACACTTTAGCTGTAGGGAACTGACTTAATCACCTAAAATCAAACTTCAGGGTGCTTTGGGTCCTGAGCACTGGAGTTATCTGTCAACTGCCCTAATCCAGACTTGAGAGAGATTATCTCCCAGCAACTCCCACCCAGCCCTTTGTGCCCTTTGCTGCTTCTTTGATTACCAAAATTGGCTTGTCTAGAGAGGACAAAAGGGATCTGAGGGGCTGTTTCTGTGACATGTCCCCTCTGTTTCTGGGAAAAATTGAGAATCTAACATGTGAGAGAAAAAGATGCTGATAGATGATATCAAAAGAAGTGACAAAAAATGACTTATTTGTAACCATACATGCATGGAAGAGGTCCCAATGCAGTTGTTTACTGTGTGACTTTGGACAAATAATCTGTCTGAGCCTCAGCTTATTCATCTGTACAATGATGTCTTGATAATACTACTAGGTTATAGGGAGAATTAAATGAGGTAATCCAAACATATTAAGCATTCAAACAGTAGTTCATAATTATTGAAGTTAATGTATATATCTATAAGCTAAGCTGGCAGCTTGGTAAATCCAATAAAAACTCTGCACAGCACTTAAAAAAGTGTTTAAAAGTGTTTGAGACTTAAAAATTTACCTTTTGTGACAAATTGAAAATAACAAATAGAGGCATATTTTTTCACTAAATTGTTTTGCTTACATTAAATTTACTCATATTAAACTTCATGACATTCCATAATTAGGACTAACCTCTGTTTGAAGTCTGCATAAAGGATTCTGCTTGGGAATCCTTTCCTACAGATGCGGATGCCTTCCAGCACACCATTACACCTCAGCTGGTGCAGGACAAGTTCATGCTCCATGGCACCTGAAAATTGTATATTTATCACTGCAGAGGTACTCAAAAGGAGGTGTGGCGGTCACAATTTGTGCTTGTATTTCAAAACTTCTTACCAGGAGTTTTTGTCTCATTGGGTATGATACACCTCACAAAATGAGGATGGGTACTCCTTAGGTTGGTCATCAGCTTGTTCAAATTCTCCTGTAAAATCAGGAAAAATCCAAATCAGGAAAAATCCTGTCATCTCAGACTTCAGACATAGTTATGAGAAGTTGGTGGTGTCATCGCTTCTCGGCCTTTTGCTTAAGATCAAGTGTGGAGAAGTTGGTGGTGTCTGTAAAATCAATATCTGTAGCTGAGTTGAGTGACTGTTTTCATTTGAGGTAACACCTTCAATGCTTCTCCTGAGATGCAAGTTCCTTTGCAATACATCTTCCTGCACTTGAGTTGCCAGGAGTTACACACAAAAAACATCCTGACATGTGCTTCTTTTCAGTTTTTAACAGCACCATCCTTTTCCTACCTTGGTCCCTGGCTACCCACATGCATTCACAAGGCCATAGTCTTCCTGTGATAGATGGTTACTCTTTCTTCTACTAAACTCCATAGTTCTCCAATAAGGAAATGCAAGCCTCCATCACATTTTGACCTTTCATTTTCCCTCATAAATAATAGCTCACCATTTCTAGTTCTATCTGTTTTTAGGGCATAAGGTTATCTATAAGGGGACAATTCTACCAGTTATAATTTAGAATTAACTGGATTAAGATCAAGGATACCATGTTAGCCTCATGGCTATGCTATAATTCATTAGTGTAACTAGTGTCTGTTAATCTCTCTGAGTACATATCATAGCTCTTTTTCATGACTCAGCTAAATTATAAATGGAAGAGAATTACGTTTTACAAAACATCTTCTAAAATATTCTTCATTATTTGACTTAGCATGAAAGGTGAGCTAATAACTTCTGTCCAAAGTTAGATCAACAGTCATTAGTTAGTATCAGTCCTTTTTTAAATGACTTGTGCAAAGATCTTGGACTTTTACAAACAAATTCCCAGGAGAGGGGAGAAGGGAGGGAGATTGGTGTTCTCCCACCTAATGGGCACAGTGTAAGGGTATATGTTACACTTACTGGGTGCAGGAAAGAACTACAATAGGGATGTTACCTAACAAACACAAACATTGTAACCCAATCATTTGTATCCTCATTAATGTGAAATTAAAAAAATAAATAAATAATTTTTAAAATTCCCAAAGGTATTGTAGAACATCAAAAACATTTTCTCCCTTACCCTGAAAAGAGCAGACACAGTCTGGAAAGAAGAGCCCTTCTTCTTACCACCTTTCTTGGCACCTCCACTTGCCTCTGGAAGGAAAGAAAAAAAAAAGATGTCATTCAAATATAGGCACTACTACTTCTTGCTAATTTGCTGATTCCTGTGCTTTTATCAAGTAGAACATTTTTCCACACTACTGACCTGTCTGAGCATGAATGAATCTTATTTTTCCATTAAGTTTGCATTCACTTTTCTGGGATTCTTTCCCCATTGGGAAATGAAGTAAAGAGTATTCACCCTACCATGTAGAGATGGATTCCCCAATATTAGAACATTTGGGGACACACTAACTTCAAAAATCAATAGAAGCTAGCATTGAGAGTACATTGCCTTGAATATCCCCAGATAGTCAATGTACCATAGATGTGGAAGAAGAAGGAAGAGAGAATCATAGAAGCTCAGGCTTTTCATTGGTTCAGAGTCAGATAGTTGCTCTCTGACTCTTTGTAGTAGGGCCTTTGTCTATAGGATGAGCCACAAGTATATAATAACAAGGCATCCTACCTACACAATACTGGAAAAACCAGGGTTTTGGCCTGCAACCCTTCTTCCAGGGCTATGAGATGACCAGCCTCAACCTAACAACACATTTTCTAATATGGAGAGAAAGTGTCAAACTTTTGAACATTACCTCCTTCAGCAGTTTGAGCCCCAGAGAAGAGGTGAGCCAGAGTCTTCACTGATGATTTCTGGTATAGCCCGACCACAGTCTCATTCAGAGGGTCCTTGTTCTTCTCCAGCCAGCCATTAATGTTGTAGTCCACAGTGCCGGCATAGTGAATCAGTGCAAAGTGAGCCTCAGCCTTGCCTTTGACAACCTTGGGCTTCTGGAAGTTGGCAGACTTGCCTAGATGCTGGTCATACAGTTTGTTCTTGAAGGAGGTGTCTGTTGCCTTGGGGAACATGCACTCCTCCTCCAGGATGGAGAAGATGCCCATAGGCTGGATTTAGGGGAAGATGAAGTGCGTAAGGATAAGTATGAGCTGCAGTGACAAGCAGCAGAGCAAATGAGAACTGGTTACTGGGTGGGTAGGATAGGATACCTTCTCGATGAGCTCGATGCAGGCGGCCAGGTCCATGCCGAAGTCGATGAAAGTCCACTCGATGCCTTCCTTCTTGTACTCCTCCTGCTCCAGCACGAACATGTGGTGGTTGAAAAACTGTTGCAGTTTCTCGTTGGTGAAGTTGATGCACAGCTGCTCCAGGCTGTTGAACTAAATACATATTCCCTGTTAGGCAATTTGAGCATTTTTTAAAATATAGGATTTTTCAATTTAAAAATATATGTCAAGTAGCCTTCAGATTATAGATGTCAAAGTCATTGCCCTGAAGAGACTCCTTTGAAATAAAAAGTGGAAAATTTGGAAGGTTTGAAAGCATGTTGAATCTACTGCTCTGCTGCCATTTTATAGAAAATTCTGTCATTATTAATACTCTTTCTCTGCATTTGCTTAAGTTTACTCCAGTATTTGCCTGATTTTCTACTTAAGTATCACACGTTTATTCCCAATTTTTATATTTTCAGGAGGGTTGATAAGTTCTTGTTGACTCACTCAAGGGGCCAACTTTTGACCCATGAGAAGCTGGTTGGGAGGAATATTATCTTGCATGGAAATCACTGTAGATAGCATGTCAAATGAGCAATAATTGCCAGCCTTGTTACTCTTTCATGTGAAATAAAAAAAAAAATCAAGACACCAAATATTAAATACAATATGATAATACAGGCTTCTATTTAAAATACCTACCCAAATGTTAACATTAACTAAGTACAAATAATGGAATTATGTGGAATTTTTGCCTTGCTTCTCTAAATATTCAGCAATACCCAAATTTTGTTGTGTAATTAGAAAGAAAAATATAAACTTCTTTAAAACTATAAGCAAGGAAAATTTATTTCATGGTCAAATATAAAATTTTATTCCATGTCATACTAACAAGTCTTAAAAGTTAATTAGTGCTGCTCTGAATTATTAATATTCATCTTTTCTGGGTTTTTATTATCTCTAAATATTTCTGAATGATTAATTGATGTATTCAAAGCCTATCGTGTGTTGCACAGGTTCACTCTCGTATTTCTATGTCAGCTTCATTTGTGGGGGTTTTTTAAGCCTCCTCCCCAGCCCCCATGGCACTAGCCAATTCATAACCCTCTTGGATAACATACCAAATTGAAAAGTCCTCATTATACTCATTGTTTCTCACAGAAATGGAATTGGCACTATAATAAATAATTAGTGGCTGCCCAGTTATTCTCTTTTAAGTCTTAACATAACTTTGGTGGTTGTAAAAAAAAAAAAAAGTCGTAATATTTGCAAGTCCCTTATTGATATTTCCATTGTCTTATTATAAGATCCTCTCATGAACTGGCTGCTAACTCACATCAAAAATCTCAAAACCAGCGATGTCCAAGACCCCAATAAAGTACTGCCTCGGCTGCTTGGTGTCCAGCTGCTGGTTGATGCGGGTGACCATCCACAGGAACATCTTCTCGTAGACAGCCTTGGCCAGAGCACCCACCGCATTGGTCACCTTGAAAAACAAAGATAAAACTCTTGAAATTATTAGAGTATTGTTAAAATGCTTTTATCCTGGGCCGTGAATTTGAATTATGCACTTACCTGTTCTACAGTCTGGCCTTTGGTAACGAACTCATTGCCAACCTTGACCCTGGGGTAGCAGAGAGCTTTGAGCAGATCGGCAGAGTTCAGACCCTGAAGATAGGCTGCCTTGTCAGCAACTAAAGGGAAGAGAGAATAGAACAATATTATTGCTGTCCAAAGAAACCCACTTCCTTAAAAATATTTTTTAAGCCTCAAATATTTTGTGCACTGGTTTAGTCTATCTTCTTGAGCATTCTTGTCCATTTTTTCACTAAATTCTAGACCTTTATTGTGAGTAATTTGCCATAAAGAACTTCAGAAATTATAAGAAACATCTATCTAATGCCCATACTTCCCATGGCATATTATTTAGTTATACCAGTTCTTTAAAACTTAATTCTTAAAAATAATTTTGCCTTTCTTAGGAAAACTCATGGACCATGTTTCACCCAAGTGTGAAATCATATAGATCACACAGTTGATACCTTCAGTGCCATCTGGCTCTGCTTGCTCCTCACGCTGCTTTTGCTTAAATTTCAGATTTCCATAATGCATTACGCCCCCCGTCAGCTTGTAAATGGATATCTTTTCTTCATTAGTAAAGCCCAATATATCAATAGCACTCTGTCAATATAACCAATAGGATAGCTATTAGGTTGCAATCCATACCTGTACTAGTAATAGTTCATGTTCCCATTCTGGACTTAATGATCAGACTGAGGAATTCCCAGCACTAATATGGGGCAATAGAGACTTGGTCCAACCAAAGGCCATCACAGAGCATTAGAATTATAGGTGCTTACCCCCTGAAGATTCCAAAAGTAAACTTAGAATGAGAATAAGAAAAGTAATGTATAGAATTTGTTATTTTGAGAGGCAGTATTCATCAATGCAAGTAGATTACAAAAAAAATTAGCTTAGGTGCATTCAGAGATGATAGATTTTTAGAAGACTATTAAGGAGACGTAAAATGTTATAGGGGCACATATGACTCCAAGGGACACACCTATGTTCATCCTTGAATCTTCATTTGCTATTTCTACTATTGATTAAATATTTATCTGGATGACCATTGCTCTGACTCTCCATAATAATTTCAATTTTCTTATGTCTACTTACATCTGTGGCCATCAGTTCTTCCTGATCATCAATGCTGGGCACACTGATTTCCCCTTGACTGACAAATGGGTAATCATATGGGTTCGTGGTAATCAGAAGCATTTCTAAGTACATGGAACAGAGTAAAGATAAGCATAATTATTCTCTGCTTTAAAAGAAGAGATTTCTAGACACATTTTAAGACACTATATAATGTTTGCTTGAAAGGTGATTGATGGGCACTGAGGGGAAGTTAAAGGATATTTGGTACACCTCAGACACATTGAAGTTGATGACATAGTATCTCTTATTGTTGCCTATTAAAAAAAAACAACTACTATAATCCAAAGAAAACAAATCCAAAAAAAACAACTACTATAATCACATAATGGGAAAAGTTGTATTTATAAGGATAATCATTATAGTGTAGACAATATAAAATCCAGATTTGGAAACAATCTATATATCTTTAAAGGTACTATGGTTACCAGAGATAAGTAAATTATGCTGTATCTGGAATGAAACACTGTGGCAGCCATTAGAAATAATGTGAAGCTATATTTAGTAACATGGAAAAAGCTATGATATATTATTGCCCAGCAGAAAAGAAGATTATAGAAGAGCATGCAGCTGTGATTTCAGTGATGTGAATTGTATGGGTGTATCTATATGTAAGGATATTCATATAGAAAATGACTGGAACTCTATTCTTCCATGTGCTCATAGTTGTTATTTCATAGAGATGGGAATTGGGGTGTTATTTTCAGTTTTCCTTTTGCTTTCTTTTGAATTTTTCTAGTGAATATATATAAATTTATATCAAACTTACAAAGCAATTTTCAAAAATAAATAGCATATAAGCTTGACAATGTTCAGTTAAAGAAAATTATGTTGAACTGTGCACTAATAGGTACTGATGCGGTAATTTGGGAAAAGAGTGAAAATGTTTCTTACCAATTAGTTCTGGTTTCTTGTTTGATGTGATCTGATAAAAAATATGGTAGCTTCTTTCAGCCTTCAGCTGGAAAGTAACTCTAGACTTCTCTAACAGATCTGGAAGGAAAAGTATAAAAATTCATGTGACATGCAAATTTGATTTTTGGTCAGTTTTATGGGTCATAAAAAAACAGTAATGATTTTAAAGGATATTGGAACACTTACATGTTTCAATATCAGCAGAAGCCAGTTTTCCTGTAGTGCCAAAGTGGATTCTGATGAATTTTCCCTTGAAAGGAAAACTAATATTACCATCTTGTTTTTATATAATACCAAATCTTCAAGAAACTCAAAACACTTGAGATGCTGACACTTTAATATTAAATCAATTCAGAGACTGTTTATGCTAGGTAGGAAAAGGTTTATCTCCTAGTTTGTAAGTAAAAGAATTTTATCTTTGATGTTAAAATTGTGAATATGATAGGTATGTGAAGTAATGGACATGTTAATTAATGTAATATAATTGTTTCATAATGTATACATATATCAAAACATCATATTGTGCCCCATAAACATATACAATTATTATGTGTCAAATAAAACTAAATAAAATTTAAGTTTTATATAATTATAAATAAAGACAGATAAAAAAGAATTCAGGCAAAAGGTCATAATAGCCTTAAGACAAGGCTTTGATTCATGTTATTACACACTGAGAGGATAATGAAAGAACCCATGACTTAGTGTGATGTAAATGAAAAAGATTCAGAGAATGTATTTACAAACAACCCATAAATTTTGACCAGTGAATAGTGTCTATCACAGTGACCAAGAGACTTACAAAGCGAGAGGAGTTGTCATTCCTCACAGTCTTGGCATTGCCAAAGGCCTCCAGTAAGGGGTTGGCACTGATGATTTGATCTTCCAGAGTCCCCTGCAAAGGCAAGAGCAGTCCTCGCATCTGGGGCTCAGAAATTTCTTACCCTAGAACCCCAGCAGAGCCTGGATTCTGACCATGGCAATCACACACACCTGTATTTTGCCAGAAGTTGCTTCCTCCTTCTTCTTGTCCCCAGTGACTGCAATTGTTGCAAAGTACTGGATGACACGCTTGGTGTTCACGGTCTTCCCTGCCCCGGATTCTCCGCTGCCAAATCAAAGGAAATCAGATGAGGTCCCAAAGCTAGCAGCTCCCACAGCCATGAAAAAAAAAGCACAAAATCTACTTACGTGATCAGGATTGACTGATTCTCCCGGTCTACAAAAGAGAAATTATAGACATTTAATATTGTTTTCTTGTATGTTTATAAATGGTGAGTAAGAAAAAATATAATGAACCTAAGTATGTTTCAGTCTGGGCTTTGCAATCCTTAGGGCGTGGTGGGCTGTAGGCCTACCACCTCTCACTCTCCTCTACTTTACCCACACACATATGCCCATTTAAACAGAACACTGCCACTCTTTATATTCAAGTCTTCCAAGAAATATTTCATTTGAGGAAAAATTATATGGGGAAAGCTCCAGTGTAAGTGATGATCACTTTGGCTGTATTTTCCTGAAGCAGCAGACATTTTCTTTTTCATACTCTACCGCTAAATATGTATCAAACAGACTTGGCTCTTTAGTTGGGTTTAGGTGACAGTTTAAGGTAGGAACATTATTTATTGTGGGTGCAAGAAGTAATGAAAAATGGGCTTTAGGAGATTTTTAGTGTGCAAGAAGGAGTAAGTACAGTGTGATAGTGGGAGCTTTGTACTATGTGACTAAGTACTCACAGCTTTGCTCATAATTTAAGGAAAAGGAAAAATTTTGTGCTGTGTTTTTTTTTTTTTTTTGATGTTTTACTGTCTCTGAAGAGGAATTCTCTAAGCCCTTTCCAAGGTGCCACAAGTACTTTAGATTGACCTAGCTAAAACAATATTATAGGAAACAGATCCTTGGCACAACTATCTTAACAGATGTACCTTAAAATCAAAGTTTGTTCCGGTTGGTTTTGGACAAGGGCAATAGCATTTGTGCCATCCTAACTTAGAGATATTATAATTTAGGATACTGAGGATAAAACCACCAAGACAATTTTTATTTTTCTGTTTCTTGGCTCACAGTAATGGATACCCAGTCTGTGTGTGTGAGTGTGTGTGAGTGTGCATGGGTGTATATATATACATATATACACACACAGAGATATGTTTGTATTTTTGCTCTAATTTATTTTGAGTTTTTCAGTCATTCAAAAGTAAATTATTGAACTATGGCCAACCTCTGTTGACTTTTAGAAATTTAAGAGATTGTTAGTAGTAATTTAGTACTAGGGATTACAAAAATCTTTTACATTCTCTCCTTCCTGGACCTTTTCCCTCATAAACACCAGCCCCAACTAAAGGGGATAATCTCAAAGAGCGTGTTGAGGTGGACTGGGGCCTCTTTCTCCTGTGGTTCAGCTCCCAAAAGATTATGCATATATTCAGCTCACTCACCTGTCAGCATGAACTGATAGGCGTTGTCAGAGATGGAGAAGATGTGGGGTGGGGCCTCCTGGCGCTTTTTGCCTCTGTAGGCCCCCACCACCTCGGGGTTGTACACCGGCAGCCACTTGTAGGGGTTGACAGTGACACAGAAGAGGCCTGAGTAGGTCTATGCAAAATAAAAAGAAAGAATAACTACCCAAAGGCCTTTCCTATTGCTGGTGCAACTCACTTATTAATTGAATTTTCACAAAAAGGAGCACTTTAAGTGAGTATTCTATTTCTTCAAGGCATCAGCATGAAAAGTAATTGGCAAGTTCAACACTGTGCTAGCAAAATCCTTGAGGGAAGGGACTGCAATTCAGAATCTTTACTGGTCTCCTTGGGGCTTGTCACAGTGATTTTCACATAGTAGGGGCTTCAAAAGTATGGTTTGTGTGTGTATATTTTAATATATACTATGAAACATTGTTATTGTTTTAAGGAAACTGTCGTGTATTTCCTTTGCAGCATTCAGATAATTCAAATTTATGAGAACTTAAATTTGGACATAAGCTAAGTGTCCAACAGTAAGGGACTGGTTAGATGATTATGGTAAATCTTAAGGGAAAATGATGCAGGTACTTTAAAAAGTAAACAAAAATATGCAGCAACACTGGGGAAGTATTTACAAAGTATTTTTAAGTTATAAGGAAACAGAACACAAAATATTATAAACTCTTTATGATTATAACAAAGGAGTTTTAAAAATCTTTTGACAACCAGTTCAGGACAGGCACCAAACCAATTAGAATGGATGCTGGCCTCATAAACAGCAGGAATACCTGTGCAGCTGTTGCCCAGCTAAATGTCAGAAGTGACTAAACTGTGCAAAAATATGAAGGCAGCATTATGCATTCAATTCAAAAATATTTACTGAATGTGTGTTATGTGCTAGGTAGGCCTCTGCCAGGCAGTAGAACTGAAACATGAATGAGATAATGACCCTCAAGGAACTCCCAGTCTGTGTGGGGGACAATTATATAAATGAATAATCAGGAAGAACATAGGACAGAAACAGCAGTGCAGAAATGACAGCGCACAATACCCAGCCCTGCCTAGACCAGGGACTAGATCACATGGGTATAAATTGCTGCTATTTGAGGGTATTGAAAGTGAGTAAAATTTGATCTTTAAGAAAATCATTTTTAAGTATTAAAACAAGTTTATTTTTTCCCTCTGGATGATCCTGGAGCTGAAATGGGAGGGTGAACATGGAAGAGGTATTAGGCATGTTGGCCTGGTGTAGTGACTCATGCCTGGAATCCCAGTACTCTAGGAGGCCGAGGTGGATGGATTGCTTGAGCTCAGGAGTTCGAGACCAGCCCGAGTAAGAGCAAGACCCTATCTCTACTAAAAATAGAAAAATTAACCCTGCATAGTGGACCATGCCTGCAGTCCCAGCTACTCAGGGAGGCTGAGGCAATAGTTTGAGGTTGCTATGAGCTATGGCGCTATGGCACTCAAGCCTGGTGCAACAGAGAGAGATTGTCAAAAAAAAAAAAAAAAAAAAAGAGGTAGGCATGTGGTTAAGATATAAACAGTAGCTGCTCAAATATTTGCTCAAGGGATCTGTGGCAAACCCAGTGAACACTGACAATGGCCTTCTCCAGCTTTGGATGAGAAGGCAAGGAAGGAGTGCTATTTGTTGGGCTGTGCTTTACAATACTAATATTGAATGTTTTAAGACTTATGCTGCTAGTGAAACTGAAATGACTCACTACTGATGGCCCATTTATACTACAATGGAAGCAATGGACCAATAGGGTACATGGTGATGACGAGGAGGACCACTGGTAGCCAGGCACTCACGTAGATCATCCAGGCTGCATAACGCTCTTTGAGGTTGTACAGCACGGCAGGCTCATGCAGGTGAGTCATCATGGCCATGTCCTCAATCTTGTCAAATTTGGGAGGGTTCATGGGGTACACCTGATCATCCTTCACCGTCAGAGTCTGGGAAACAGTAAAGAAACCATTTACATTAACTGAATAACCAAACCAAAAAAGAATCAATAAAATGTGGCAGACCCCTGGGACTCTACTCACTGCTCCTCCTTCAGTCTTCACTGTCACTTTCCCTCCTTCTCTGCTCTGGATAGTCCCTTTGACGAAGGATTCCTTGGGCTCAGCCACAAAGACAGATGTCTTGGCATCAAAGGGCCTATTCTGGGCCTCAATGCGCTCCTTTTCAGACTTCCGGAGGAAAGGAGCAGCCTCCCCAAAAACAGCCATTTCTGAGTCTGCACTCATGACTGCTGAACTCAGAGGTCCTAAAGGAGATAAAACATTTCACACTAGAGAGTCTGGACCGCAAAGCATACCAGTAAATCTTTATGTTGGTTATATTTCATAGGAATCCCAGTAGGTAAGTCCACTGTACACCGTGTTACAGCTACTGAAACAAACATAGTCACAAGAAGTCAAATGTATCAGGTGGTCACTGTGTACCAAATATAGCATTCAGGGCTTTACATCCATTATCATCCTCTAAGACTTACATGCTAATCGGGAAACTGGGTTTATAGTCTCTGCACTGATGTTAAGTGGCTTGTGATATTGAGTAAGTTTATCTTTTTGAGCCTAAGTATCTCCATCTTTAGAACAAAGGTTGTAATCTCTGCCTTTCTCAATTTATAACCTATGAGACATGGTGATGATATTATGGCAAAAGAAAAAATTAAATATTGACTGAGAAAGTAATTTGAAATAGTTAAAGCTACCATTTATATATAAAATGTCATAAAATTTCATGTCTTGCCATGTAACATAAGAGAATTTTATTTCTTCCTTTAGATGCCCAGATTTGCTCAAATTTAGTGGACTATGGAGAATTATAATTTTACTCTTTTTTTCTTTTAGTTGGATGCTTACTAGAGTTTCTCTAACAATTTCTAAGCATATCAAATATACCTAATTGGTTTAACCCAGTTAAGCTAATTAAGGATAAAAATCATAGCCAATGTTATCCTCATTTTTCTACATTGGAGGGCTTCCTTTGCTATTCCAAATTTCTTTCTAAATAATGCAGGCCCTGTTTTCTTCATTCTATATCATCTGCAGGTTGCTCGTGGTACCAGTAGAACGAAAGGTTTGGCAATGAATGCTATTGCAGTCATTACATGATCAAATTACTTGAAACTCATTTTCATCAGCTATCCCGGTCTCTCTCTTTAGAAATGCAGTGTGTAGTGGTAAGGCAGATTAATACCTCTGCCATATATAACAAAAATTCCAGTGTTTTGTTTTCATACAGCAATCAGCATTATATAAGGCGACTTTCTACAAGGACTTCTTAAGAAGTTTAAAGGAAACATTGTCCTAGGTACTTTCTTTCTTATTTTTTGGATATTATATTTACTAAATGAATTCTATTTTTAATAGAAGGAAACATTTTTATCAAATCTGAGATGCAGTTTTTTTATGCAGAGACAAAAGATTCTATTAAAAAGGGATTCTCTTGCTCAGATATCATCCCAGCTGTGTTTGAGTCATAAATGTGGATTTTTGCATTGTCTTAGGAAAATCTTCTCTCTTTTCCTCTCCAGCTCTTTTCCTAAGGTACAGTTATTAGAGGGTATTTACTGAGACAAGCACTTTCTTAAAGGTTGCTAAGTGACATAAATCCATCCCAGATGCTCTTGCATTCTCCTCCAGGGACTGGTTAATCCAAATCTTACCTTGTTAGCAAGTGAGAAGATGTAGCCTGGAAGTGAGACAGTTCTGTAAAAGAAAAGGGGAAAACACTTAATTAGTTAACAAAAAAAAAAAAAAAAAAAGGGACGGGGGTCTTATTTACCACATTACTTGCTATTGTAAGCGGAAGGCAACAAAATTCATAGATTTAAAATGTGCAGTTCCAGAAGACCAGTACCGAACTAGCAGCTGCTGCCGACACTGGGCAGTGTGGCCAATGTCCCTCTTGAAAGACCCGTCCTGTTCCCACTTACCTTGGAGCTTTTTAAAGCTGGACGAGTCAGCCTCATTCCAAGGGCTCTTTTATATGGATAGCTATGGAAACAATGCAGCTGCCTCTTCTTTCTTAAGTCAAAAGGAATTGTTTGGCAAAATACCTCTTGGCAATCTAGCGTCCCACATAATTCTCATTCATATTAAGAATGGTTGGATATAATTAGAAATATTTTTCTTATTGAGTATGTGGATAAATCTCCTATGGATAATTTGAGAAGATGATCTGAAAGGAAGATTCACGTGGTGGATAAAGGCAGTGGCAGGACAGCCAGGATACCTGGTTTCTCTTACAACTTCTTTTTGGCTTTGCTGAGCATAACATTTGGGCTTGCCTTCTATTACTTTTGCATATTGCACATGTTAAATGATATTAACAAAAGACAAATATTTATTTTTAATTTTGTAAGGGTTAATTTTTCTTCTGTTGATTCTTTCTTTTCTCTTTTGCCCAGTTGTTCCCTCCACCCAGCATACCATTCCCTATCCCACTACTCATTTGACTTGCCTGCAATAAAAAAGGTTGAATATTTTCTAGTAGTAAAGAGTAGTAAAGGTGCTTTTAGAGAATACTTTTAACATTTCTTATGTCAAGCACACTGAGAAAAAAATGACACTATTGGTATGGCACTCCAGGGTAACAAGGAAGGGATTTAGGCTAAATACATAATAAAGGACTTGGTGAGAATATTTTCTTATGTCTCTACATGTCTTTATGTATATAAATATAAATATGCACAGTATTAAGGAAAATATTAAATACTGAATGTGTCTGAGATTTCTTAATATCTTTGTGAAATTCTGAAGGAGGTATTGAGCTAGATTCCATGAAAAAAAAAACTTGTTTATATCTGGCTTTATACTTGAATACACATAGTTCCTGATCAAATTTTTATAATGATGCAGGCAATATCTGGGTTTTTTTTTTTTTTTGAGACAGTCTCAAGGTGCTTCCCTGAGTAGAGTGCTGTGGAATTATAGCTCATGGCAATCTCTAACTTTTTTTTTTTTTTAGAGACAAGAGTCTCACTTTGTTGCCCTTATTAGAGTGCTATGGAGTCACAGCTCACAGCAACCTCTGGGGTTAGGTGATTCTCTTACCTCAGCCTCCCGAGTAGCTGGGACTACAGGTGCCTGCCACGACACCCGGCTATTTTTTGTTGCAGTTTGGCCAGGGCTGAGTTTGAACCCACCACCCTGGGTATATGGGGCTGGCACCCAACTCACTGAGCCACCCGCAAAGGACTAGAGTGCAATCTCTAACTTTTTGCGCTCAAGTGATTCTCTTGCCTCAGTTTTTCTACTTTTAGTTGGGGGTGGGGGGTCTTGCTTTTTCTCAAGCTTGTCTTGAACCTACAAGCTCAAGAAATCCACCCACCATGGCCTCCCAGAGTGCTAGGATTATAGGCGTGAGCCACTGTGCTCAGCCAATATCGGTTCTTGATAATTATCATCATGAGGATCTTTGCATAAGAAGGGGATGAAAATGTAACACCAGTTTTTCTATAACTGTTGAAATCTTTTAAAAATTTACCAGCTCTTCTTTTTCCTTCATTGACAAAATATAATGTGGGATTTTCTGGGATAATGAGAATAAATTTTTAATCCATTTGAACTATTTTTCATATCACATATTTCAAAGGATAATAAAGTTCTAATCTATGAAATGTCCACGTTAAAGGAACCCCTTGGCTGCTAGGTTGGTCAAAGGACACATCAACCACAATTACACAGAAGTAACTGATACATTCAAAGTTCAAGACTTGGATATATCACTGCAAGCTACCTCTACTAGTACCACCTACCCAGCCTTCAAGCATCTTTACACTGGCTGGCTATCTCTGGACTGCTGTCTCTGAAACCCCAACCCTCCCAGAAATCTCAGGAGTCTCTTGGCTGCAGCAGATGCATCACACTCTGCTGAGGTCCTTCTTGGTTCCAATGCCACCATTATGCTTGCCTTCTTTGAGGATTATAGAGTACACTATTGAACTCTAACACAGCCCACACCACCCTCCAAGGAAACCTTGGCCAGATTTTTCACAGATAGAAGCCACCTCTCAACACTTTGGCCTTCCCTTCCCACTCAGCCCATCTAAGACTGAAGGGATCAACATTTCATGGCACATCTGTAACCTTTTTTGATGCCAAGAGACACTGGTTTCCTAGCTATGCTTTAGGGTGAGGTGTAGTACTATTTCCCCAAACTAAACAGCCATTTTTAGTGCCAAATAAATATTTTGATATTCTCTTATTGCATCCTATCTGCCCATGGGCATTTTCCTTATGCTTTTTAAAATATTTCTTGTTTATGTTGTTTATGAACTGATCTTCACTTTTAAGTCATCTCATGGTTAACTATTCTGTTTGCCCAGTTTATAAACTTTTGGTGAATACTGTATTCTGTGGGTAGAAGCTGTTTAATATATTATTTTTGAATGTAAAGAAGAAAATACAAAGCCTCATTCCCAGTGGTTGAGAGATGCATCTTAGTTGTTTCTTATGCCACTTGGCGCCTGAATTTATGACTGGTAGATGAACTAGAGTTCAAGGAATACAGGGAGTCCCTGCATTACCAATGAGATAGATTCTATAGGTTTGTTTTTAAGATGAATGTGTATATAAGTTGAACAGGTACATTTACCTGTATCTGCCTCCTTCATTGGTAAATGCAACTCATCTGTCAGATGTTTGTAACTCAGGGACTTACTGTAATAGCCCCCATTCATAAGTGCAAGTTGTATATAAGCCTGATGTTTGTAACTGAGGAACTTGCTGTATGTCAGTCATTATAATTTATTTTTTCACTCTGCAAACACGTGAAGATAAATACATTCACTGTGTGCCTTTTTATTGATGTCATCGATATTTTTAACCTGTTATAACGAGTCAAGGCCTTTCTACTTCCCACTGCTCATCCTTTGGGATATCTATCACATGTAGGTCTGGTGACAACTCAGGAATAGAGTGAATACTGATCTATGCCATGCACGGAGGTACACAGGGAATAGTAGCCACTACCACCAAGTTCAGGAGAGTTATAATCTGAGAAACAAAAGAGGATATTCATAAAGTAGCTCAAGTCACCTTTGAAACAAAATGTAGTGTACAACTGTGCAGGGAAGGAGCCATATTTTATGTGTCTATGTGATCCTCACAACATCTAGAACTGTGCTAAAGCATAGAAATACCTCCAAATTCCAGGACACTCCATGTTTCTTTATCCTAACCATTCTGTTCCCATCAACTGAAATTGGGACTTGG